TGGTCCAAAATCGTGCTGATCGCTTTATTCTTTCCGACTACTTACGTTTTCCAAGTGCTATTGCAATGAAAACCCAACTAGACCTTCCCGATCTTTCCTCGCATCGTGAAATTTCCCGACTTTGCCTTTGTTATAAAGTTTATTATTCTGCCCCTTTAAAAGATTCGCTTCGTAAACCTCCCAGATATATTTCAGCAAGACTCGGTACTCCTGCAAGATTTTACGTCACAAGACTACCTCTACAGCATTCCAATATTCTCTCCGACATACCATTGTGGACTGGAATGGCATTCACGATAGCATCGTCACCATCACCGATAACATCAAGTTTCGGCTCGCGCTAACCACCGACTTGCCTCTGTGATGCGCCTCGGGCCCTGAGGGTATTTGTAAAGAAATAAAATAATTAATTTGGCAGCTCCGTTCACCCCTAAGCAAATAAGCTAATACTGCGGAGGGAGCTACGTCCTCGTTGGATCAGTCATACGCCTCTGTTTAGCCACGTCATTAACATACCAGCTCATACCCAGGCGCAGAGAGCCGAGTCAGGTGATAACAGGGAGGAGGCTGATTGGTTCGGCGAGCACAAAGCTCGCACCGCAATCTCAGCTTAGAAATGAGCGGAGTATAGGTCAACTCAGTTACGGAGCTGCCTAAAATCTTGCGGACCTCGTTGAACCTTTCCTGAAAGGAAGGACGGTTGTCTGTTCGAAGATGATAACTAGATTTCCTTCGTACTCGTCATTCCACTTGGCTTGTGACGAAGCAGCGTTTGCAGTGCTAAACGTACCTGAGGTTTGGCCGGAGGGCAGTATCTTTCACCAGTTTTTCGGTCGCCTTGATAGTACACGTGTTCAAACGAAGAAACGAAAACTCCCGAAAATGGCAGCAACGCTTAGTGTCTTCTACCAAAACGTGAGGGGCCTACGTACGAAGGCTGACGAGCTGATGCCAAACCTAGCTACAATTAAGTATTGCCGCTCGCAGGGTCACGAACTTGTAGAAGATTCTTGTTTATTCTTCCTGCGGACATACCTTCTATCGTTTATCCCCGCTTCTGTTGTTCTAGAAAGTGCGCGTTCATTCTCGCCCCGAGCGCGCTACGCTCGAACCTTCTCCGCCGAATCTTCGAGATAGTGACTCACTCTAGATAAGAGGCCACCCGCAACCTTGCCGAGTCAGTTTCGCCTCAGCGTTCGATCTCGCTGCTTCGCCGCCTTCGACGCCCGCGACGCTCTGTTGTTATCTTTCTATTTCCTTTTATTTTCCGGCACAAGTTCCCCCATTAAACGTTCAGTTTACTCGGTCATTCGCCGCCTCGTCACTTGTCATCCGTGACAGTATGATGTTGTTTGCCTCACGGAAACTTGGCTCTGTGATGGGATACCGGACTCGCACTAGTTTACACCTAGCTACAAGGTGTATCGCCGAGGCAGAGATTACCAGACCACTGGACACAAGTATGGCGGTGACGTTTTAATTGCCTGTGAGTCATCTCTTTCGTCGCACCGTCGCCCCGACCTGGAATCATATTCCGAGTGTGTTTGGCTAGAGATACAGGCAGGCGATGGCTTTAACTGGTAACTATTATTTTTCACCACATTATGACCAAGTTCTTTTTATAGAACGTTTATATAAGATTAGTGAACAAATAGATTTTGCGAAGTACAGAGTGCAGGTTTATGGAGATTATAATCTTCCTGGAGTGAATTGTGTGCGCTAGCCCACTCGGCCATCAATCCCCCCCCCCCGTCCCCCCCAAATTTAGCGGGGAAACTTAATGCGTAGTGTTGAACTATGGGACGTTATAGACCTACACACAAATTCAGTTTCTTCGCTAAATTTAGCGGGAATTAAATTGGTGTATAGGTTTGTGACGTCCCATAATGCAACGCGCGGTCACGCTGACGGCGACGACGACGACGACGACGCGAAACACGGGAATGAACGCATAAGATGCTGCGCTCTAAAATATTTTCTTTAAGAAAAAATTAGGACGGAGTGCTGTTTCCGAAATTATTCATTGCAATAAATGCCAAAAGCAGACAATTAACTGAGGTGGCGGCAGTACTGTAATTTAATAAATATTATTAAAGTAATGAGCGCGACAAAAGAGGATGCTCCCAATGAATGAGTGGTTTGTATTCTTCAGAAAAAAAAAAAAAAAGAGAGCCAACGGATACAAATGAGACGTGTCCCTCGGCACTGAAAAAACAGTGAGTGCGCAGGCGAGCGGGTGGATGTTGATCATCCTTAGAAAACCCGAGACTGTGGTAAAAGCAGGGAAACTTGGTCGAAGAACAAAGACAGGGGAAAATAACGTCTCTTTCCCTGTCTTTCTTCTTCGACCAAGTTCCTCTGCTTTTACCACAGTCTCGGGTTTTCTACATCATGATCCCTGGGCACAGAGCCGTTACACTCGATCAGTTGATCGCAGTAAATCAACGATCACTCGCATTGCGTTAGTTCTTCCTGCTTTTGATCCCACCGGTTTAGGTTGGTATTTGCAGAAAAGTAAACATTGTACGAATTGCACAGTGTGTTAATATAGTTTTCTATAATTTTTATTTTTATATATTAATTTTTTTTTCTATCTGATTTTTGTATGCCGTTGTAGGGGTAGGAAACCTGTGAAGCTGCCTTGCAGGTTTTTTCCCCCAACCTCCCCTATCTTTTTTTAATGAAAAAAAAAAAGAATTGCATTGTATTCAATTCGAATGCATATGCGGCTTCCTTAATGGTTTCGAGTAATAAGTTAAAAAAGAGGCCTGCTTGATTAATTTTTTTGGTTGACTTGAAGTACATTCATTGTATGCATTACATGAGAAGGTTTAAAAACCAAGAACACATAATACATATATTTTATCATTAAACAGTAAAAACGAAGGAATGCTAACAGAAACAAGTAAAACCAGATTGCAGTTGAAGCGCACTGAGCTTCAACTAATTTATTTACACTATTTACATTATGTTAAATCTGAGACGTGACAAGCCGACCTTGCGGGTGCCGTTGTTCCTCAATTACTGTGCTGTCTCGAGCTCAGATTTAACATAATGTAAATAGTGTAAATAAATTAGTTGAAGCTCAGTATGCTTCAAATTGGTGACCCGGACGTGATCGCGCGGGCACTTCTTTTACTTCTTTCGGGCTTCGCTGGGAGCCGCTACACAGTCAATAAGCCGCGGTATGTATGGTGATAACACAGAAGTGACAAGTGGTGAGAACTGAAGAAAAGGAAAATGCGTGCATGACAATTAAAAGCGTGCCAATATTCCAACACATCACCGGCATCGCACAGTGGTTGCGAAAAGCCGTACGAGGAGGTTTAGATTTCTTTTCTTGTTGACGCATGACTTTTAGTTAGTAAAACGTGTAAAGGCAACGATTATTTTATTACACCGAACGAATTTATTTAACCAGAGCCATTGTAAAGCACACTAGTGCTATTTACAAGTAAGCAAGAAGCTTACTTTTGTCAAGTAATTTGTAGTATAAAATCCAACCGTTTTCTTTCTCTCTGTATTTTGAAAAGGTCCTTTTTTGTATAAGAGCACTCTTCATGCAGGTTAACAATGTTACGTTTTCGAAGTGCCGTTTTATTATTACTCGCTCAAACTGCTCCTCTGTGCCACTTGATATGACCAAAGAAATATTGTTCAGCTATCACAAAGTAGATAGATATCAATATCACGTGAGGCTCACGGCTCTGACTCAAATCATGCGTTGTTGATTGGCTTGGGCTACGGTGCAATCAGTATCATAATAAAATTTATGCCGACGCTTACGTTCAATTTGTGTTTTGTTGAAGGCAGATGAGATTTAGATTTTCTGAAAGTCAAGCAGGCTATCTCTACATGTTAGATCTTCAAGGACGCTGCTGTTCGAAGTTCGGTGTATTCCTGCTGCCAGCCATCTGGACACCTGCCATCCTTCCTGCATAACATCTTAAACTCGTCCTCAAGAGTCTTTGTTCAGTCATGAATTGGGCCATTCGTAACTTGATGGGTATTGCTACAATCGCCAAGTCTCCTGTTATTTCCCAAGACATTTTTTTTCAGAGTTCCTTGTTAAAAAGTTCCACATCGAGACACAATTGGAAGCTCTCGTGAAATACTTGCCCCTTTTTATAGTAAGGGGGCAAGGTGGTGATTTTCCCCAGTTGGTTCACAACTAAGGAAAACAGCGGCTTGATCCTTGTGGAATATCGGCGCGCGAGAACCCGGGGAGAGAAGGGGACGACAGCGCGCGGGGTCGTCAGAACGGCAATTTCTGATTCGAATGCTTAGTGGGTAGGCCTAAAGCCTTTGTCTACACTGATTCGTCAAACGCGTTCGAATGCAAGAACCAAACGCCGGAGGCCGGCGTTACGCGTTCTAAAGCGTTCGACGACTGCAGTAAGGGCAGAGGCTACTTTGTCTTCACTACACTCGTCGAACGGGTTCGAATGAAGAAGCCAACGGCTTGACGCAGGCGTTCCGAATTCTAATGCGTTCGGCGACATCAGTGGACACAAAGGCAGGTAGCTTTAGGTCTACCCAATAAACCTTCCAACAAGAGCTCGGCTTTCTGACCTCCCCACGCTCTCTCGTCTCCACCTATCCTTCAGGTTCTCGGCGCATAGCTTCATGGTTTACAGACTAGGCGCTGGCAATATTTTCTTGCGGCGACAGGATGAATAGCTGTAGTCAGTTCTGGTAGTTAATATATGAGGAAGTTGAGTAGAATGGGGCACTTATTATCTCAAGCGTGGAGACACCAACCTTAAAGTAGTGGGGAGAACCGCTGACCGAAATAATAGTTCCCAACTCCTCGATACCGGAATATGCAGCTCTGCGAAGGTCAGGCACCGGTTCTGAGTGTTTCTGGATTATATATAATGTAGTCATTTTTTAAGTTGCTAAAACAGTGTAATTATTCAAATGACAACAGTACCTGCATCGTCAAATCACTAAGCCCACTACGATTTTTTGCTTCAGAAACAAATTTAATTACAGCAATCTTATGGCGACAATGCAACTGATGCAGAGTTTACTTTCTCGTGAATTTTACAATTTTCGTTATACACTTTATAGTTTGTGCTACCTTTTGTCACGCAGGCCTCCTTGTAGATGCTTATACAGGATGTAAGTTGTTTTTCATCCAAAAAACGGCTGTGCACGTACATCTCACAGGCTTGACCTGGAAAAGATGCCATATAACGTTATGTTGTGAAATATTTTAGCATATCATGACCCAGTTCTAAAGGTGCGCTAAATGTTGGTAGCTTCATATTTGGGGCTCCTTTACGTTCATTCGTGAACACTACATGCCTACTGATAAAGAATGCACTTGGACCATCAATTATGAACTCAAATTATCTAATGAAGATTGCGAATAATATAAAATTAGATCTTCAACAACTTATATTATCTGTGAGAAAAATGAACTATGAATCTCGAAAAACTAATGCCGAAACTATTGAAGAGTATTAAACATTGGTGCACCGTATGCACTGCGGCTCAGTCGGCTATCAGGCGTTTATGAAAGTATTGAGGAACGAGTGAGTAAACGCCTTTCTTAAATCTGAGTATCGATGTTTGTTCATTGAGAATTGACCGTGGCTGTTGTTTCCAAAACGAATAGTACCTTTCAACGTTTTAATAGCAATATTTGTGACTTTGTTTTACAATTTATTGATGATTATTAAGTTTAATTCCCTCGTGTCCCAAGGTCTGCCGTAGCTGATATAATTAAATCAAAGGTATAATTTAGCATCATTAGAGCTCATTTTAAAACGTGCAATGTTTTATAACGGAAGCATCGACTCCCTGAAATATGAATGCCCGTACATCCGCTCATTTCCCACGACAGTGCATTTTATGAGAAGCAGATTGGTTAGCATGGCAACATACGCAGTACGATTAACACAAGCACTTACTTGTAATTAAACCAACGTATTCTATTTGCACATTAATACGGCAGATATTTAAAGCAAAAAAAACATATTGGAAATAAATAAAAAAATATTCCGGATGAGTAAAGCTATCAACCATGGAGGTCGTCAGAGCACGAGTATGATAAACAATTATTGACATATAATCAACTAAAATTCGGTAACAAAATTTTTCACGTCTTTTTAGCTGGCATATTATAGTTGGAGATTTTTGTCCGTTTTTGGTATAAGCTAGCTGAGTTGCTAGATATTGTCTTAAAATTATTCGTGCTACGTATTACGTGTCAAATCACTGAAATTCGCCGCGTGACTACCTGAAGAACATTTTTTTTAAACAAGATTAATCACTTTTTTGCTTATATACCCGACGGTCTACACAACTCCAATAAAAATATGACAGATAAAAAGATACCGGGTGTTCACGCCACTTCCGGCCGCCACGAGAGGGGAAGAGAAACACTTCCGGTTCTCTTGTGTTTACGTTGTGCTTTGGTGGGTGTGCGACGACTCTCGGTTTCCTAGCTAGAAATCGCATCAAAGCTAAGCTCAAGAAATGACCCAGTGTCGTGCTTTTAGGTTGCCGATACGTAACGGCACGAACAAAATGTTACAAGTGAAGTATTTCGAATATCTCTAGACGAGGGACGTCACCGACGCCGCCGAATCTTGTAGGTCGCAGGACGACGACATTGGCAGACGGCGCTGGCACCTCGATGTGCTGCCGATGGATGGAGCATCGCGAGAAACGCGAGGAGGTGGCGAATCGACCGGCCATCTCCGCACAACGATGGGCCATTACGACACGGACAAATGCAGTGTGCACGGTGTTCTGAATAAGAAACCTTGAACACCAAAGAAAGCAAATCAAAACAGTAGAAAATTGTACATTACAGAGACTGGCGTCGTGCTAAAGCTAGCGTAATAAAAACGTTTGGAATATCAATTGCCTGCCAAGACCCGGCTTGGGGACCGCTGCGGGGAAGCTCGGCGCGTATCTTCGGCGCCTGGGGTAGGGAGGTCCCCATCTCCGAAGACTTTCCGTTCAAGAAGTAATTGAATGCATTTCAGGACTTGTAGGTTTTGAGTCGTTCTCAGGTATATGAACAAGGCGGCTCGAAAAGAGAGTCGTGAAGATGCACTCACGATAATTTCGGCAGATTTGCCATTTCGTTCAGGAAAAAGTGCTCTTTCTCATCACCAAGGGGTTCCAGAAGGCACGTCGACCCCGGATAAGTAAATATGAGGAGGTCACGCAGTTAGTTATCGGTGTTGAGACTTTTCGAGCAACCGTAACTCACTGCGGTTAATCAGAAGCAAGCAAAAACAATAGCCAACAAGAAGCATCATACTCCCCTTGAAAGTTCGGCCATGTTCGTTTCAAAGCGATAGCTACGGGGGCACTTTGCAGATATTTTGCTCTCATCGGTTGTTTTGGCCGCGCGCGGCAAGAATGGAAAAACCCGTCTCTCCCCTCTTGACACGAGGCCAAGGAAGTCGACCTTTTCTGTCGGCCGCGCGGAGATAGAAGCCCCGGAATCCCGCCAGTAACGACGCGACGAAAGGAGAGCCTCCCGTGTCGTCTGCTTGAAATACTTGTTTTCAAACATTACTCTCGTTATGCGAAATCCTACTTCAGCAGTATCCAGCTGCTACGCGTAATATTGGATGGTTTTAGAAACTTCCACCTCGCTTACCCACTTATCTCAGCGAGCACTCGTAGCGGTCGCGAGTGGCATCCACGACGCCAATTACGACGGCTATGAGGACTAACCACGTCTCACCTCGTCTTAGGGTGTGTGACGGCACCATTCCACCCGCATTGCGCCACCGTGCTACAGCTATTGCCTTCGTTTCTTCGCATATTGTGGGGAAAAATAGTTCTTTTTTTTAACTTTTCACATTCTGTAGACAGGGATCGCGCAACTTCCGGCCACCATCAGAGGGAGAGAGAAGTGGTTCGGTTTTCCTATGGTTACCTTGTGTTTGGGGGTGTGTGCGACGAATCTTGGTTCTCTAGCGACCGATTCTGTGAGAGCTATGCTCTGGAAATGCCTCAGTGCCGTGCTTTCAGGTTGCCGATGCGTACTGGCACGAATAAAGTGTCACAAGTGAATTATTTTGATTATCTGAAGACCAGGGACACAACCGACGCAGCCGAGCCTGGTAGATCGCATGACGCTTGATGTGCGTTTTGATGTGCCTGTCGACAGATGGCGCAACGCGAGAATGTGGGGCTTCGACCGACCATCTGCGTGCCACCATGGGCCATTACGGCAAGTACAAATGCAATGTGCACAATCTGGGAAGAGATCCTTCAATACCGAAGAAAGTAAGTCAAAACACTTCAAATTGGGTATTGCAGAGACTCACGATGCTCAAAAGGGTACGTAATAAAAACTCTCGGAATATTTTATGTTAAAACAAACACCCGGCTCGTCGAACCATGCGGGAATTTCGGCGCCTATCTTCGGTGCCTATCTTCGGCGCCTACCTTCGGCACCTACTTTCGGCTCCTATCTTCGGCGCCCCGTGGTGGTAGGTGACCATCGTCGTTGCCTTGCTGCTCATTAACTCGTCGAACGCGTTTAGAGATTCGTAGGTTTTAAGTCGCTCTCAAGGAAATTACTCAGGCGGCTCAAATAGGTAGTCCCGAAGATGCCCCCACAATACCTTCGGCAGATGTGTCGTTTATCTCAGGAAACAAGTGTTGTTTCTTTGCAGCCAAGGATAGAAGAAGGGGTATCAATCCCGTATTAGTAAATTTCTGGAGGTACTACTGTTTTTCCTCGGCGGTGAGACTTTTAAAGTATGTGCTACTCACCGAGGGTCCTCAAAAATAAGCGAAAAGCAATAGCCAACCGGAAGTGGCGTCTTCACCGGAGGTTTGGCCATTATTTTTTTTTCCTCCCACACCCTGTATTATTAAAACGTTAATTATATTTTTTTTATGAATTAAGTCTCTAATTTGTTTTATACTCGTGCACCGGCGATAGCGTTCGTTTCCATATTTATTCTGTTTTGTTTACCTAATACTTTTAGTATTAGAAGAAAAAGAAACCCAGTATACTACAGGGTTCGCGGAGGTAAACAAAAACAAACAGTGGCCCAACTTCCGGGGGAATACGTTACTTCGGATAGGCTATTTCATTTCTTGTTTTTGAGGACCCTCAGCGAGTAGGGCATACTTTGAAAGTCTCATTGCCGAAAACTAACCGCGATACCTCCCGAAATTTACTTATACGGGATCGACATGCCTTCGTGCTCCCTTAAGTGAAAAGAGAGAGCTCTTGTTTCTTAATCAAATGACGAATCTGCCAGAGGTATCCTGGCCGCATCTTTAGGACTACCTTTTCGACTTGCCTGATCCATATTCCTGAGAACGACCTGAAACCTACGAATCCCTAAAGGTGTTTAACTACTTCATGGACGGCAAGGCATCCGCGATGGGCACCTACATCCCCCAGGCGCCGAAAATATGCGCTGAGCTTCACCGCAGGGGCCCCCGAGCCGTGTCTTGGTTTTAGGGTATACAATCTTCCTAATGTTTTTATTACGTTTCTTTAACGCAACGATAATGCAAAATTTTGTAGTGTCTTGACTTGCCTGCTTTGGAATTTGAGGGTTTTTCTCAGAGCACCGTGCACATTGCATTTGTAGTACATGCCCTAATGGCCCATCGTTGTACGGGAGAGCGTGGGTCTAGGTGCCGAGGCGCCGGTGTCGCATTTGAGCGTGTTTCGCGTTGCGGCGTCTGTCGGCAGCTCATCAAAGTAGGCTAGCACCGTCTGCCCAAGCCGTCGTCTTGCGATTGCTTAGACTTGGCGGCGTCTGTGGCCTCCCTCGCCTCAAGATATCGAAATAGGTTAACTTGTAGCATTTTGTTCGTGCCGGTAGACATCGGGAACTTAAAACTATGGCTATCAAATGTTCAATTTTACACTCCGACATTTGCTAAATAGACTTTGCATTGAAAATATTGATTTCGATAGTCTAACGTTCAAGAACCTGCGCTTATATTTGTGTACATGATTTGTATTTTCATTTTATATTTAGCACCTTGGGTGAAGCTTGGTTTGTACAAATGTGAACCTTAGATGTGCAAAGGTTTCACTGTATACTTTCTGTTTTCTGTATTTTTCCGCATGCTTGCTGCTAACCAGTGTAAGGCGCCCGAGGACTAGTCAAGCTGCCTACTACAATTTTTTACCCTGCCCCCCCCCCCCCCCCCACACCGGCCCATCATTAGATGAAAAAGAAAGTTATTAGTTTTTTTAATATTAAAAGCAGGACACCGGGTGATTTATAGAGCGTAGCTCTCACAGAATCGCTGGCTGGTGAACCAAAAGTCGCCACGCACCCATCCAAATAAAAGTAAAACATAGTAGAACCGGAATTATTTCCGTCACCTCGTCATGGCTGCCGGAAGTGGCTCGCACATCCTGCATACATATGAAAAGCGGAGACACCAAATGGGGGCGCACATATTCGCCTTGGCAGCTGCACTACGGTGCCTGGAAGGCGTTTCAGACTGCTCTGTTTAGCGTGCCATTCCCACATGCATCATGGTAGACTCCCGAAGTGGCCACAAATGACGCTGCGAGAGTGTGTTTTCTTTTGTGGAATCCTGTTTAGAACAAATTTTGCGCCCACTGTGGCCCCAACGTTTTGTATAGCGTTGTGCTCAGGCAAGCTGACGTTGATGACAAAGCTAAGGTCGGCTGCTACATGCGATGTTTATGCGGAATGCTTTTGCAAGCACAGTGACGCCACCCTCTTGTTGGACATTTCCAATACATGCGAAGCATTTTCTAAGATGGAAAATATTCAAAACACCAAGAAAACATTGAAAATGTAATACTGAAAAAATCTTGGAGAAAAGCGCTATAGACCGCGGCGGAGGTCAGTCCACAAGTATAAAAATAATTAGTCGGTGAATTTCCTAAAATTCGCTAACTGATTTTTGAACTATTTTAGCTGCAATATTTCAATTGCAGAATCGTAGCCCTTCGCCAATATAGGTCAAGATAATTTGCTAAATAAAAAAAGAAACTATTCTATTGATAATCTCGGTCATTTTCCACGTAATTACTCGAAGAAATATTTTTTTCTGGTCCTTAACAACTCGTCTGACCCATATTAACGACAGGCTACAAATCTCTATTTGAAATATGCCAGCTAAAAAAATAGTTAAGAAGTTGTTAAGCGAAGTTTTGTTAATTAAGCCACTAATTGCTTTCTATACTCGTGCCCTAACGTTGCCAAAGTCAATAACGGGACTCTCCATGAATTTTTTTTTATTTCCAGTCCTTTTCCTTTTTAATAAACTTCGTTATAAAAAATACTTCCAACATACTTAATAGGGATACAATATATAACAACTAGGTGCAATTTTAAGCTCATAAATCACAAACCAAATGAGAGCGGCAGAAATAAAGGGACAGAATGCACACGAAATTTCAGGCGTGTTTTTTTCTTGACGCATTCAACTTGTTGAATTCCTCGAAAAGCTAAGGTTTTATTCGTGAAACGCACGACAATGGTTCGCTCTTGTAAAATAAAGCAAGGGAAAACTAGATACCGTTCTTCCCTGTTATATTTTACCCGTTATTTGTACTTATTAAAGCCTCGCCGAAAATCTCAACCCGCAGGAGCCCGAATTAAATTTCGAGCTGGCAGAAATTTACGAGAAAACCTACCTTTCTCGATAGATCTCGTACATAAATTCTAGGGTACTCTGGCGAAGTAAATTATATTTTATGAACCCGAACGTGCTTACTAAAACTTTAGAAACAGCGGCATCAAATCACACGAGCTCAGTAAGTGGCCATGCCTCTTTATGTACATTTTTTTCTTACCGTGGTATGCATTCTTGTTTCAGACATATTGGAACACTTTAGACTCATTTTCAGATTTTAAAAATTGACATTATAACGTTCATGCTCTAACTTACCCCTTGACTTCACCCTTAGTATATCGCACTTTTCGTAGTCAGAGTATATTAGTTCGTATACTCCGAAATCCTTTGCAGCAGATCCGTTCGCTGAAAATGTCAAGAGCATTTTATATGCTTTGTTTCGTATGCCGAAGTCAATAACTTCTAGTTATTTGATAAAGTAATGGTGCCGATTATCTTCAACGTAGTGTTCCGGAGTTCGATAAACTCGCAGCGAAGACGGTAAGTGTTTAGAGGTAAATACCCTCGAAACAACTCTTTGTTTTACCAATTGTTTTCACAAAAGGGAAGCGAGTAAATAGGTAATATATTTGTAAATTAAGTGTTAGTGTTAGACAAGCGTGTTGATGTGGTTGCTGTAATAATAATAATAATAATAATAATAGTGTTTATTTCCACCATAAGATCATGGCGGCGATCAGGAAAAAAAAGCTGTGAGGTACAGCTGGACGGGTTCCTGACCGCCTACAGCAGCACCGACAGAGTGGGGATATAGGACATCAAAGAGAAACACAAATGTACAAAAAATGATCGCCATCACAACATGTTCAGCACAATACCTTAGGTCATCACAATGTTGACCGATAGGGCATGACGGGCAAACAAAAACAAAAACAATCTCATAGTATTAAGAACAAAACACGGAGTAAAGAGAGCAAATAAACTAATCATCAGTGAAAAAAGGGTGACCTCACTTCACTCAACGATAACTTGTCCAAATCAATACCTTTAACTAAAACAGATTAAATAATTTAGGAACAGCGTATTTCAACGTTTGTGTGCCATAGTTTGTTCTCGGTGTGACCACCTCCCAACATTCAGCTCCGCGGGTAGAGTAACTATGAATGTGTGTCAAGATTTGTGCAAGCATTATAAAAAAAAAGTGCGTATTTCTAATTTACTCCACTTTTAGGCTAATAGCGAGCCTATATTCATAGATAGTGTAGGCATTTATGACATTAAATTTTTGAATAAGCTGGCTGTACGAAAGTCAAACGGGACATCTTCTATAGCTCGAAGTGCTTTCTTTTGCAACACATGCAGCTTCTCTAGATTAGTAAAAGTCGTTGTACCCCAAGCTAAGTGGCAGTAATTTAATTGGGAGCGCAATAGAGAATTATATGATAATAATTTTACTTCTTCTGGCAAAATATAACGATGACGATTTAACATGCCCACAGCCGGAGATAGCTTTAGAATAAGATAGTTTATATAATTTTCCCAGGACATATTCTCAGAGAAGGTAACACCTAAGACCTTAAAGGAGTTTACCATTTCAATATTGCTAGAATTTAAATTTAGGTCTTTTGTGATGTCTACAAGTTTATTTTTAGCCCGAAAGAGCACGGCTTTTGTTTTCTTCAGATTTATTTGCAACGCGTTGTTCTGACTCCATATTTCTAATCTAGACAGAGTCAGGTTTGCCATATCAATTAAGGTCTCAGCATTATTTGAAGTAAAGAGTATACTTGTGTCGTCAGCGTAGTTGACAAATTTTGCAAAAGTATTAATATTGGTGATATCATTAACATATATATTAAAAAGTAAAGGACCCAAAATACTACCCTGTGGTACGCCAAAAAGAATAGGTTTTATGGTGGAAGAGTTTTCATTAATACTGAGATATTGCATCCGGTGCCCCAGATACGACCGTATTAACTCTAAAGCGTGCCCTCGAACTCCATAATTATCAAATTTAGAAAGTATAGTTTGATGATCGAGACAGTCGAAAGCTTTAGTAAAGTCTATAAATACTCTAAGGGCCATCATTTTGTTTTCAAAGCTTAGCAAAATGAATTCTTTTTGAACGAGTAGTGCAGTTCCGTAGATTTGTGCATTCTAAAACCGTACTGCCACGGTGTTATCAAGTCATACTTATTAGAAAAGTTCATGAATCGGGTATGAATGACTTTTCGAGTGCCTTGGAAAACCCTGGCGATATTGAGATGGGTCTGTAATTTCCCATTTCATTTACACTTCCTTTTTATGCAATACTGAGACCTTAGGAATCTGCACTCGCTTAGGAAATACTCCTGTTGCTAGAGAAATATTAAATATGTGAGTTATCACAGTTGCTAACAAATGAATCACGCGCTTTACAGGCCTTATTTGAATAGTATCTACGTCAAAGCTTCCACTATTTTTAAGCTGAAAAAATACACTCGACACTTCTTGTTCTAACACAGGGTCTAAAAATATCGTGCCGCTGTTTCTTTTATCGCTAAAAATAGCAGCATTATATGTTGCAGACGTAGTCGCAACGTTTACAAAATGTTCGTTGAAAGCATTTGCCAGTGAGCGACCAGTAAGTTCAGTGCCGTTGTGCATAATTTTTTCAATAGAACTGGATGGGAGATCGTGATGATAAGAGAGTTTAGAGCTCTGCTTCCACATGACGTCTGCGCGACCCTGTGCGGCTTTGAACATATCGAAATGAAAACGCTGTCTCGCACGTCATAGTTCTTTCGTTCAGTGGTTGCGATAGTTCTTGAATATTGATACATCATTCTGGTCTCTTGACTTTGCGAATTCACCACATAAGACGTTTTTTGTGTTAATTTTACAAAGTAGCTCAGGAGTTATCCGAGGTTTTCTTATGCGTTTATTTGTTTTTATAAGTGTGAAAGGAAAATATGTGTTATACAAACTTAGAAATAATTCAATAAAAGTGTTGTAAGCACCATCGGCCCTAAATTCGCAAAGTATAATATTCCCATTTGGCTTTGAGACAGCGATCCCCAAGGCGTCTAGTCGATCTAAAGTTATTTTTTGAATCAGTTTCCGGTTCGCATGTATACACATACATATCGGGACAAATACATACACAAAATATTGATCGCGCCCTCTATCTCCAAATCCATTTGAGTTATACAGCGTGGACTGCGGTATTTAAAGTGGGTCCTTTATACTTGTTTAGAAGATATTTAACTGTCATTTCGGGGAGTACTGGGAGCCTTATATTTCATAATATTCCCCGGTAAATTTAGCTATGAGGGCTGCATTGGCGAATAGATCAGGTTACCTGGAGTTCTCCGCATTTATCTGGTGACAAGGAATTGGTGCATAGGTTTGGTGACGTCAGTGTCACGTAAGGTCATTTTTCTTGTGACATTTTTATTGATGAACTGAATTGGTGTATAGGTCACGTGACGTGAATTTCGCCTCTAAATTTAGCGGGAAAATTGAGTTGGCGCATAGGTATCGTGACACCAGTTCCTCTGATAAATTCATCGCCTATAGACGTTTGCAGCTACGGCGTCTGGGTGCCGCCATCTTGCTGCTGGCGCGGGTAGATCATTTAATAATCAAGCATTGCTGAGGCGTACCCACAGCCTCAGTAATGCTATAGTATGAGACGATCTACCTGCACCGGCAGCAAGATGGCCGCGGCCAGAGCTTGCAAACGTCTATAGTCAGTGATAGGTTTAGAATTCGGTAGGAGCGAAGCCCCACAGATGTAATGGTCCGCTGCAAGTGCCTCCACTGTCAAAAGTAGTTCTGCGTCTGCTATGATGTGGCGACATAGGCAAGGTCCGCTTGAGGCAAGAGTGAAGAAAGCAAAACTCGCTTTTTGCAACGGGACGATATTGTCGCGAGTCTGCAAAAGTATACCTGTGTAAGTTCGTATCAGGCAAAGGCCTGGAAAATTTTGTACCTCGTGTTGTGTAAAATTACGGCAGGACGCCTTCATGTGAGACAATGGTAGGGGAAGGCAATTACAACGATAAATGACGAGGGCAGGAATTTAACGAGGAAATAAATAGGCTAGTTTTTGTCTCCCAGATGGCGCGGGGTGGGGGGCGGGGCGGCAATGAGGGGGGGGGGGGGGGATTGTAAGAAGCGAACATGTAATACTCGCATTGAGCATCAAGCAACATTGCAGTGTTCGATCACGAACGAGCAATGGTGCTTACAAGCGTATGTCAGCGCCTCTCTATGCGGGGTAAAACAGCCACCAATAGAAGATAAATACTAAGAGAAACTGAATATACAAACAAAAATGCAGCTCGAACTTTCAGGGTCATATGAAAACCAAAAAAAAAACATGCTTCCTCTAATTTGTTTTTCGCAAATTTATGTTCGACATTGAAATTCTCAATGAAAAAACAGTGAGTGCGCAGGCGAGCTGGTGGATATTGATCATGAAGTAGAAAACCCGAGACTGTGGTAAAAGCAGAGAAACTTGGTCGAAGAAGAAAGCAGGGGAAAAGTACGTCTCAAACTACCTACTGTGTTTATTTCCTCAATGTCTTATATATCCACAACCTAACCGGTCGGTGGTTAGATTCTGCTTTCCTGGTTTTCACCCTTTTCTAAATGTTATTTAGTAGTGAGAAAATAAGAATAGTTAGTGCTAAATCGATAAATAAAAAAATGATGCGAAAACCAACATTCAAATCCAGCGCTTCTCAGCGCTGCGCCGTCAACGGTAGGCAGGCTTGCAGGTCGAGCAGGCAGTTGAAAAATTTGACTATGCAGAGCGTTTGTTTTGAGGGCGCGAGCTTCCTAAACATTTATTTGACACTATACAGCTGCTTGTGGTAAGTTGAAAACCAACTCTAGAGTCGAAAGAGTAAACCGCTGCCCGCTGCCGGCGTCACTTTTTTATTGTTGCCAGTATAGAGATTTTCCGTTTGAAAAATAGGGGGAGGACAGACATTGTAAATTTCCGAGCCTCGCGAAAAAAAAAATTCTGGCCTAATATTAGCTAGGGTTATTAGACTAGCGATGTTGGCCAATGTAGTTAAAAATTTTCATGTAAATCGGGGCCGATAAAAAAAACGCTAGAGTACCTCTTTAAAGAGCAGTAAGAGACTGATAAGCCACACGTAGTTAGTGCGCCTATTTAATGTGTTCATTTTTTTCCTACCCATATACGTGCACCCCGGTGATGCCTTCTAGCTATTTGGGTTTTGGCGGACTTTATATAAAGGTAGCAGAGTTTGAACTGGTAGGAATTCTAATTCATATTTATCAATATTTAGTCCATCCTTCAGCTTCCTTGAGACTAGCAATTTAAGTGCGACAAATAAGCCAAATGTGGTAAGTATAGTTGTTCGAATTATATAACCTTAGAGATTTTAGATATCAAAATTGATATAAAAATAATACCATCCTGGTTTTGAGTTTTTGAATGACTCGCCTAAGCAATATTTTAGGGGTGCTAAAATCAACTCACGACTTAATCTAACTAAAGAAATGATAAAAAAGCTCAACTAAGAATAAAAGAGGTTACAAACGCATCGCAGTGCTATGGTGTGTCCGTCTTCTATTCCTTGTCTTTGTTTTACCCCCTTTTTGTTTCAATAACGACTTTTAACTAGCCCGAACAACACTACATGAGGAAAGTATTTTGCATCGGGACTGATTACTCTCATTTAGTAATAAAAAACATATTTAAGTAAGATTTATGACTTACCATACTTCAATGTTACGTGCATAGCATTGTCCTCATGCCGTTTTCGCGTAGACACAAACAACGGAACTTCAATTCTGAAATTCGCACTGATATTGTCAGAGGCGGTCTGTAAGATGAAGAACTTGTCACATACTTACGTTATATTAGTTGCTGTCGTCCATCCCTGCCTGAACATATAGTTACCGGTACCGCTCAATTTTGCAACATTAGCATAGACGCATTCATATTCCGGATTCGTTGGCTCTGGTTGGTAGGTGCGATAGTACATCCATGAAAATGGATCGCAATTCTGAAGAGCCTGTAATACAATTATGTTTTAAAGTAAGGTATTCAAGCACGTTTGGAGTTGTGATTAAGAATTTCATTCTAACGGAAGCTAATTGATATTGATATTTCGTAGGAAGAAAAGTGAAGCTCCGGAGTTTGTCGCCTGTCAAACACCTGTACCGCCACACAACTGCGCGTCTTGGTACGCGTCGCGCGTGAACATGTGACGCACGAACTCTTATGACAATCCTTCGTCCAAATCTGTGCACCTATCCATTCTCCGTGCTGTCAAAAAAAGAAAAAATCAGAGGCGGGATGGGCGACAAGGCGGCACCTTATAAAGGAGTGTCGGCCTTTTATTTCTCATAAAATGTATCTTTAAATATGACGGCTTAACTGACAGACCAAAATGCAACTGCAAATGTTTCATAGACCTCATTTTTTTTTTCAGCTGAATAACTTCTGCTTCTGCCCTCCCCCAAAATATGCAATAATGTATGTACATAGTATCGTTACACAGCAATTAAAAAAATGGCAATATTAAGATACTTTAGCGCTTTGAAGCACTCTCCCTCAAACGTGTAGGAAACCAAAAACATTCTGCACATTTATTAATGCGAAAGTATTAATTGTCCCATGGAGCGGACCCGGTGTTGACCGCAACCGCAAAGAAACGGCAGAGAAATTCTTTCCGCGGAACGGCTCTTAAAATGGCTGCGACGCGGCCCGCGTGCCGGATAGTTCCAAGTAACGCTACCCCAAAGAGAGCCCTCCTTGCGCCGCTCCCGCGCGCTGCCACAGCAGCGCACACCCGCCCCACCCCAATGCCCGGCCGGCCGGCGTCTGCAGATGCTTCCCGGCTGGCCTATACAGAGGATAGCGGGGCGCGCAGCGCGTAGGAATATGCTACGTACACGAATGCTTTCGCATTCCTACATGTAAGCAGTCTTTAGAATCTTCCTGTATTTTTTTCCTGTTACCTTTGGAGAGTCTGCACAGGTCCAAACACGAACCACTTAGAAATCACGCGGTATATAGCTTGTACACAACCTACGTGGCTTCTGACTTGTGATTGGGCGTGACGGCTCGCAGTATTTTGTACATATTCTAGCCTAAGGTGGATGCCGGGGCGCAGAGCTAAGGCGTCGGGTGCAGGCTGGTCTTGGTAACTTAACATATCACGAACAATTATGCTTAAACAGTAGTAAGTAAAACTATGTATGATAAATATACCCTCCATATGCCTTGTTTGCTTATGCGTCGCCTGATATGTGCTGTGTATGATTTATGCTGCTCTGGCCTGCATGCAACTGTTCTTCGTTACACTCCAGAGTAAGGCTAGTGGCGTGAAATCCAGATATGAAACATATTCTCTGTTAACGCAGTCACTGTGGTCGGGTGATATCGTTAGTCTTGGACTCCAAATTACTGTAAGAGGGCCTCGTTGACGTCGTTATCCTAACTGGCGTTATGAGTCAGCTTTCAAGTTAATAACATTTTAATCAGATGCTCGATTATTTCATTGTCCTGGTTTGCACCTCGCCTTCAACTAAACGCGAGGCACCTATACTCAAATTGTGTAATTCTGCAGATACCCAAATATAAACTGGAATTGTAAAATCACGAAGAGACGAAGGTCACCTTTGTTTACAGGTAGAGCGAATCTTGATGGCTGGTGTGGCAAATGAACACCAGTAAGTCTTTTACCGAACTGCCGAATCCGCTGTCGTGTTGGGCTTCCCCGAGCCTAGAGTCTCGTGCCTCCCCGAGGCTCACGCAACTGCCCGAGAACTCCGGTAGCCTGTCAGAGTTGACGTTATTCGTGACTCCAGCAAAACGAACGGTACCTACGCAAAAACACTAGTCTGGCCGGTGCAGATACTTTCGCGACTCCTGCTCGTTTCTTGTGGCTTCCGTGATTACATGTTGTCGGTAGTTGGCGCGGAAGAACAGTTGTCCGGATGACTCTCTCGTAACTGTTGTATGAGCTTGTTCCCATGTTGCTCTACACGCAGCCTACACAACCGCGTGGACCAGACATTCCGGGTTTATCAACGTTCATCAGCAGCGTGGAAGGACAGCAGGCAGTCCTATAATCGCTCCCTCAAAGAAAGTCAAGCGTCTGGAAGCTAGCACACTCCAACACATCGCCGCAGGTTCGAAAAATGGAGGATAAAAAGTGGGGGAAGCCAGTTTGAGTTTATTGCTTATTTGCTGACGCCCAAGCGTTGTGCGTTGAGCTGGCACATGGCACTGCATGACCAGTATTGGACCGTCGGCAATTGGTCCAGGTGAGCTGAACGCGGAAAAACAAGAACACAAAGGAAAGGACTGGACAATCGCAATGTTGACTAACAACTGACTTTTCCTTTTTCCTTATCCCAGCCTAGGCTCCTTCCTCCTTTGTCCGACGGCACATTGAGTCAGTTGTTAGTCAGCCGTGTGATTGCCCAGTTCTTTCCTTCGTGTTCTTGTTTTTCTGTTTTAGCTGACCTGATTGCCAGCAGTATGTACTTACCAACTAACTCAACTAGAACACGTAACTCAGTATTAGACTGCCATTATTGTCCGGTAGTGGCGTGCCCTATAGGCCGCTGGAGTCACGTATAGACGTTTTGCACACGCGCCAGATTACGACCGCCATTGCTGACCTTTTATTGTCTTATCGAGATACCAAGTCACTGAAGTAGGCTTTGATGATACTCAACAAAGGCCAATGCTAGGGAGAAAGACACAGTCGAATCTAGAATGGCAAAGGCCTGCCATGGTGTCACAGAATTCGACTATTTTTTTTAAATCTTTTTTCAAAGTTTTCCCGAGGGAACGCATCCCGTCATGGGACGCTCCCTTGCCCCACGGGTTGAGCGGCAGGGTTCGGGCACCGTCCGTTTTCTGTTTTATGGCCCCCTGGCCCCCCCTCGTCCCGAGGACGTTTCTCGCGAGGTTTTTAGTTGGTAGCGATGGGTCCCTCGGCTTCCCGGAATGTTGGGAATGGTTTCCAGATGTCCGAGTGGGGGTGCGCTTTATGGTTCGCTGGGGTAGGCTCGGCTTGCCAGTGTGACGTGTGTTTTTTTTTATATGTATTTTTGTTGTTGCCACTACAGAGAAACAATTATTTTTTTGGGCAAGGGAGAGTGGGGTCTGCCGCTGGAATTTGGGAAAGGGAGGACCTCGGCTTGATTCCGAGCCGAGTCAGGGCAGTGTGCGCGAAGACTGGGCCCGGGGTGTACGCAACGCGAAGTTTGGGGCGGGACTGCGGTAGCGACGGAAGGCTGAGCACGGGAGGAGTTTGGGCTCCCTGGTCCAAGCGCTGCTTTGGGCGCCCAAGTGTGTGTGCGTTTGTGGGTGAGTGCCTGTGCCGAGGAGCCACGCCGACAGCACCCAGGCGCACATCGACCTCCCAGGTTCGGTCGGCATCGCAAGAGGCCGCGTCACCCCCATCACCCACCGGACTCAGGTTCGCGCCACTCACCCCCCATATTACTTTGTATAGTTTATCCCTCCTTTAGTTGTTTTTTTTTTGTTACTTTGAGTGCAAGTACTTATATTGCAGAAAACTTTCTTTCTGAACGAGCGCTGTGTTTTTTTCATGTACAGATATAATCATACAACATAAGTCGCGCCTCAGCGCTTACTCTATGGGGCGGTCTGTTGTGTCTTGCTGTTGGAAGTTTTGTTTGTTTTGTTTTATGCATTGTCTAACGGGTTTTCAGTAAACTATTTTGGGGCTGAAAAGAAAAGAGTCTGTGTTGTTCATTCTCCCCTCACCGTGAGTCCGTCACCAGGGCGTGGACCTATCGTCCGGTCAGCGGTCCTATCAAAATTATAAATTTGTTTGCATAGGATATTATTTGGATCTTTTATTGTTAATTTTCACCGAACCTGTGACAAACTGGCGTCCGCGACAGGACCTGCTGACCACGGTGACGGCTCAGTCCGTGAGGAGCGGGGGATGAGATTGAGGTCGCCTGGGCCGTGGGAAGTGCGCTGTGTGGCTGACGCCGTTGCGGGAGCTCACAGCCCAGCTTGCCGACCGAGTATGGAAAAAGTATCCTACGGTAACAGGAACTAGAAGGGGCCACGCGACCAAAATATGAAGGTTAAGGAGCTAGTGGCCTTAGGGCAAGATTTAGGTCTCGATGAAGCTAGCCTCAAGGAGTGGTTACAGACTCAGCTAGGGGATGCTAAGCAGGACTTTGTATCTGTCCAAGACTGGACGAGAGAAATGGTTAAAGGAAAATGGGAATCCCAAGAACGAGCAGATAAGCTTTTCGCGTACCGAACAAAAGCTGAGGCCGAAATTCGTAAGCTGGAAGAAATGTTAGAGCTTTTGCGGGCCACGGAACCTGGGAAGGTAAGCCTCGAGACGTCGAGGGGGAAGGCTCCGCAGGGCATTTCGACCAAAGATGTTGACGTATTCACCCCGAAGTGGAACGCGGTCGACGAAGAACAGACGCAGGCCGGGGTCTGCTGCTTGGGAGAGACGATCCCGCTGTTCGAGTCCGAGGAAGAGGCCCCAGAGAGGGAACAGGGCGTGGCCCACAAGGAGACCCCGACAGGGAGGTATGCTGCCGTGCCAAAGTCCCGCAAGTTGGAGGAAAACGGAGTCCAGACTGAAGGGGGCGGTCCGGAGAACCAGAACCCGACCGCCAAGCTGCCCCGCAAGTACGGCTCGTCCCATCCTGACACGAAGCGATCGCCCAAGAAGAGGCGCATCAGCTCGTTGAGGCCGTCGGGAAATGAGGACTTGCCGGAGATCCTGGGAATCACTTTGGACAATAAGGACGAGAAAAGAAAGCTCGTGCCGCCCGAGCGACAGACGTCCCGGAACGCAGCACTCGAAGGACCGAGGCGCAAAGCTGAAGCTTGCAGCGAGCAAGGGGGTGGCGACAAGAACGGCGTCACCAAGGGGAAGCCGGGAGAGCTCAGAACTGACGGCAGCAAGGCAGATTCGCCCGCCAGCCAGCCGGCGACGCACGAGAACGGGAGCAGAGACCCGGAGTCCTGTGATGGTCCGTCGATCGTCCAGCCGCACGTGCATCTAAAGGCGAGGTCCAAGGAGGGGACGGCGAGGGCCAATTCAAGCGCGTGGGCCAAGCCACCGAGTGAAGGGTCCTTATTACGGAAGAACAACGGCTTCGAGACCCTGAAGGCGTCGTCGCCGAGTGTGAGGCCTACAGGGCGCCGGAAGGCGGCGCTTCGGAAGAAGACATCGAAGGCGAAGAACGGCTTCAGCGTTCGAAATCAAGTGATCAAACCCAGCGGGCGCAGAGAGAAAGGGCCCCGAAGAGAAACGGCAATCAAGGGGAACCGGCCCCTCTCACCACGTGCAACCCGCACTCAGAGCCGGAGGGCTTGGGAGCGGGACCTCGGAACAAAAGCTGCAGTGGAAGCAGCGGACTACGCGGCATTTCGAAGAGGCGCAGGGGCGACGGGGCATTCCAAACTAAGCAGTACGGTGAGGAGGCCCCGGTTGGGAGGTTAGAGAAAGACCCCTTCCTAGGCAGGTAGAAAAAAAAGGGCCCCTGACTATTTGTAAAGCGGCTTAAAAGGTAGCTCAGTGGTGCCTAACATGTTTTTATAACTGTTAGGTAATTGTTAGGGAGAGTGTAGATAACTGGCATGTGGAGACCCCGCGCATGAAAAGAATGGGCTATGTTCTTGTCTAGGAGCAAGCAGAGGTGTATCTATAGATTAATTGTGTCAGCATGCGCTCCGCAAACCCCGTGTGAAATTGGAGGTCTTCAAGTTATTTTTCTTGTTTCTTTTTTTGTTTTGCGGTAAGCTGTTGGAAGTAACGAGAAGAGACTTCTCTTTTTTTTTTTTTTTTTGCTGGGCCTTATCTTACGTGCTGGTCGTTTAGCGACTTTCAGGATGCTGACTTGAATATAATAGAAGTGAGAAACTGGACTTTGATCATGCAGCCTGGCTTTCGCAAACGAAGTGTCTGTATTGCCTAAGAGGAGCCCCCGGGCTCTGTGTGTTTTATTTTGCTGTTTGAGCATGATTACATTTTTTTTGAATGCTTCGTGTTTATGCTTGTTCCTGAAAAATATCTGTTCAGCCGTATGCACGTGTGCAGGCTGCCGCCCAGTTTTGTGTCGAATTTTGTGATTGTCTTAATATTCACTGGTGAATATTTTTGAATTGGGGGTGGTGTCACAGAATTCGACTATTTTTTTTAAATCTTTTTTCAAAGTTTTCCCGAGGGAACGCATCCCGTCATGGGACGCTCCCTTGCCCCACGGGTTGAGCGGCAGGGTTCGGGCACCGTCCGTTTTCTGTTTTATGGCCCCCTGGCCCCCCCTCGTCCCGAGGACGTTTCTCGCGAGGTTTTTAGTTGGTAGCGATGGGTCCCTCGGCTTCCCGGAATGTTGGGAATGGTTTCCAGATGTCCGAGTGGGGGTGCGCTTTATGGTTCGCTGGGGTAGGCTCGGCTTGCCAGTGTGACGTGTGTTTTTTTTTATATGTATTTTTGTTGTTGCCACTACAGAGAAACAATTATTTTTTTGGGCAAGGGAGAGTGGGGTCTGCCGCTGGAATTTGGGAAAGGGAGGACCTCGGCTTGATTCCGAGCCGAGTCAAGGCAGTGTATGCGGAGACTGGACCGGTGGGTGGACGCGTCGCGAAAGTTCGGAGCGACAGCGGGTGCGGCGGAAGGCGGAACGCGGGAAGAGCTCGGAGCGGCTCTGCAGGCCCCAAGTGTGTGTGCTCGTGGATGAGTGTGGTGCCGAGGAGCATCGCACGGAGCATCCAAGCACGCACAGACTTCCCCGTTTCGACCAGCGTCGCAACAGGCCCGCGTCACCCACACCACTCTCCGGAGCCAGGTTCGCATCACTCACCCTTGTAAAAATGTATCGTACAATTTAGAGCCATTATTGTGTTCTACATTTTTTTTTTGTTCGTTTGTTCTTGTGTACTGTCCAGTGTGGACAAAGCCTTTAAACCGCTGCTCTGCCGGTTATTATATTTTGTTTTGTTTTGTGAGTAGCGCCTGCGCGATAAGAAAACGGTGTGATTTTTTTTTTTTGGTGTGAATTTCATTATGTGTAAAAGCGCCGCGCGCGAGAAGGGCAGAGTTAGCGTTTGATTATTATTTTGTTTGCGTTTCGTGTGTGCGTTGTCTTGAACGTGAGTCAAGTAAATCCTTCGTTATTTTTAACGCAACGTGTCCGTCTCGTTCCTCGCCCCTCACAGTGAGTCCGTCCACCAGGGCGTGGACCTATCGTCCGGTCAGCGGTCCTAACAAAATTATAAATTTTGTTTGCATGGGGATCATTTGGATCTTTTATTGTTAATTTTCCGAACCTGTGACACATGGTTAGTGCCATGAGATCAAGATTAAAGGAAAGAAAGACTAACGGCCGGTAATAGCGGTGTCCATGCACAGCTGCCGCAAGGTGTCTCTCTCTTTTATGAATCACTCTCCAAAACGGTTCGATGGTAGCGATAAACGGACACTCCGTGTTAACATGAAAACGATATTCATCTTCGGCAGTACGCCCCCCTGTCTGCGTATTGCAAGACAATTTAGAGCAGCGTGATGCACGTGTTAAACTCGATAAGAAGTGATATGATGCTAGCCCAAATCCAAAAACGCCAGCTCACTGTCCAGCAGTGCCAAAAATGGTTGGCTCTCACAAGAAGTTCCGGCGCTTTTTATTTGTTATGCTTCTACTATCTCTCTATACACTTGGTCCCTGTGCTTGAACAAAACTTCGGCGTCACCCAACCTTGGCTCAGACTAACAGTTGCGACATTGAATCGCAAGATGAGGGCATGCACACCCCCGTCAATGAACTCTGGTGCTCTCTTAAACGGATGTTCAAAGAGCGCCCCGTTTGACCAAGGGTATCTGTTAACGAACTCCGCGCCGAAGATGGGTGGTGGCCGACACTGGCAAGTACGCTAATTTATTTATCGCTAAGTTTACTACAGTATCTATCGGAGTAAATCAAGAAACACATGGAACAATTCAGGTAGACTAAATTTATCTTTGATAATTAGCGTTTAATGGTGTTGGGTTATTTTTTAAATCGGGCCTCAGAGTAAGATGTCTTGAATAGAGAATGCATATCAAATCTTTGGGCCGTACACGTTTCGGTTTTAACGGAAAATATCTCCACCAGCGTCAAAAATATGAAATCGGATAAAAAAAGACTGATATCTGGACGTTTTTCTAGAAGCACCTGCTATGTTCGGCGATACACTTCCCCCCCCCCCCCCCCCCTCTTTTTTAGACGTTCATAGCACACCTAATCTTACCAATGATAAAGCACTCTGCCAGTCCCGAGTCAGTGGAACCCCTGATTTTGAAAGGCAGTTTAATGAGATTAGGTGAGTCGGGGTGGTCGATCCCCACTGATAGCCACACTGCCTCTTTTCGATTCAGGCAAGAGCTGGACGGCAGTGTTTGAATATACCAGGGATGGCCAAGCTGGGGCTCGCGAGTCGCATGCGGCTCTATGCGTGTTCAAGTGCGGTTCGCGACTCCCTAATAAACCTACCCCCCCCCCCCTTCCTCCCGCCCCCCCCCCCCCCCCCGTCCCTCCCGGTCACACCAGCACTTTCCCAAGAAGAGGAATGGAACGCGGTTTAAATTGAAAGACACGTTCCGGTTTAGTAGTCTTGTGCTACTGCTGCTTTACGTGCACTTGAACTGCGTTTGACACCGATGGATCTAAATTAGTCCAAATTTCATTTACTTCTCTCTCTAGAAAAAGTCTGCCCCACCCCCCCCCCCCCCCCCCCCCCCGCCCATCCGCTTTCTGCTTTTCCTCCTCCAGGCAGCTCTTGGCAGTTTCGTAGTTTTGTTTGCGGCTCTTCGGCAGGCTCCGCCTGCTGGCCACCCCTGGGATAAACACTGGCGATTGTTTTCGGTTGTATCTTGTCACATATGCAATATTAACTCAAATATTTTGCTTGAGAGTGCTTCAGTTTTCGAAGTCGCTCAAAGAAGAGCGTAACAGGACCGAACGAAAACGCACAGCTCCGGGTGATTATGTTATAGAATATTCAAATATCGACCAATGTTGGTATTTGTCGTTCGTTGCTTGCAAGAACTTAGGCATTATGATAAACCTGATGCTTTATTTTGTGTCTAAAACACATAAATTTAATTTTAACTCTCTGGTTTTTTTTTAATGTTTGGTACCTTTTGAGTATTGTTATCCAAAAATCACAGCTTTTAGAGTTTGTACAAAAATTAATTGACAGAATACACCGAATATTTAGACGTAACTAATCATGTACGAGATTCGCTACTTTTTATTTTAAATACACATTGAAAAGTGGACAGCCCTGAACATACCGGAAAATATAAAACATAGACATACCCTGTTAATGTCTTGGTGACTTTCACAATATTGGGGATCGTGAACTTGAGTTCGATCGTCTGCCATTACCTGCCTTGTTAGGGAGAAGCATGTTAAAAATAGATAAGTGACTGCTTTCATATTGCTGAGCACCGTAGAAATAAAATCTCTACCACCAAGGAGTGAGTTGGCCTCTTGCATTATAAAGACTTTACTATTTCTCAGTGATATTTAAATACCATTTTAGGTTCCGTGCGTTGCCCTCCACGTTGAACTTCCTATTTGAAGAGATAATATCACGATGAGAGGCCAACACTCTTCTGCGTGGCTAACCCTGACATATCCATTCATGATTTTTCAATTAACACTCCAAAAACTTTAGACTGATACAAAAACAAATCCCAGTAAAACGTAAGTTTGTTTCTTGGCATCGTATTTACCTGGCATACTTGTACTTATTTACATGTCCGAAATACAAATAAAAGATTGACAAATGTGTTTTGTGCAATCTACAAACAAAACTTCGACCTACGCAATACGAAATGCATTGCGCGCTGGAAAGTCTTGACGTTAAAATATTCCTGAATTTAAAAGTCTACAATTAAATTTCATATTCAGTGTTCATTCGAACACATACCAGCCAACGTTCAGAAAAAGCGTGTTTGGCGGTGTTGCCGACGCGGAGGAACGGAGTTGGAACACCGCTTGGCCGGGTTTTTTTTTTTTTATTTCGAATTTGTTTGTCTTCTGGAAATGTTTAGCCCTATCTTGGCTGTCATCCAATGTTCAGAACATTTCTTAACCACCTGCTTGTATAAAGGAAACGATTACTTGCCGCATTGGGACAATCATTCCGTTGCGGACGCAGGAAGCGTTGTACTTTCCACTTTGTCTCTACGCACAAGTTCGCTTCAATTTACGTGTATTAGCAGTTTTTAATTCAAATTCTTTTTAATTCCTGACACACATTTTCGAAGAAGCACTTTTAGCTTAGGATAAATGCCACTAACTACACTGATAGTTATAAAAAAGGTATAAAAATAAACTACACTGATAGTTATAAAAAGTAATTTTATTTAAAAAAAACGCGTTCTTAAACCGAATTTTTTTCTGCAAATGGGGGTATCCCCATAGTTTATATTCGATAATTAAAAAACAACAGAAGTTACTTTTTAACATTATAAACCACACTGTGCAATATTTTTATATTTAGGAAGTGTCTTTTATAACAGTGGTGTAACAAATACCAGTGCTTTAATAAGAAAAAAAAACTCTAGCAGTTCGATGCTTTGTATCTGCAAATGTATCTTCTCCAGAAGTAATATTTAGGAAAATTATAGTTGCCTAGAGAGTGTTGAGATGTATGTTAACGTACTTTTTAGTTTGTCTCTTATAATGTTGTAGCTTTCCCTATACCAAGGTCCCGGCGTTAGTTTTCAAAATCAAACAAGCAAAAGGGCTTTTAGACTCTTTTTAAAGCATGAAATGTTTATTACCTGAACACCATTCCGGCCGTCTGTGCATTTCCTGCTAAATTTAGCGAAGAAACAGAATAGGTGCTTAGGTCACGCCACTCAATTGTTGTCACGTGGCCCGACGAATGAATTTGTGTATAGGTCACTTGACCTCTTCATCAATTCAGTTTCCCTGTTAGATTTAACGGGACGATTGTAGTTAAGCTACAGTTGAGTTCAACTGACATATACACCAATTTACTCTCCCTGCTTAATACATCGGAAAGGTTTATAAAAATAAATGCCCTTCACTCGCCGAAACGACGGTTTTATGTCTTCTGAATAAAATTAAAAAATCACAGCTTAAACAGTGCATGTCATGCATTATACAGGGTCTGCAGAAGTAGCAATGCCAAATTATGACCAAACTTCCGGTTTAAAGGGGGTGGGATGTTAATTACGGTTGACTAATGTTTTTGCTGGTTCTTGAGGAGTAGCTCATAGTTTAAAAGTCTCACCGCCGAGGACTAACTCTTGTAGCTCCTGAAATTTTCTTATACGGGATCAAAATCGCTTTCTGTTCTTTTGGGTGAAAAGAAAAAACACTTGTTTCTCGAGGAAATGACAAAATTGCCGAAGGTAGCCTGGTCGTATTTTCAGTTCTACCTATACGACTTGCCTTGTCCTTATACCTTGGAACGACTTAAGATCTACAAATACCTATATGCGTTGAACTACTTCGTGAACGGCAAGGCATCGACGGTGGGCACCTACCTCACCAAGGTGCCTAAGATAAGCGCCGAGCTACCCAGCAGGAATCTCAAATCCGGGTCTTGGTTTTAGCTGAAATACATCCCAGTTTTATTACACTTTCTTCAGCACGACGCGGGTGTCCGTAATGCAAACCTTTCTTGTATTTTGAGTTCCTTCCTTTGGTATTCAATGTTCGATTCCCAGATCTCCGTGCACATTTAATTTCTACGTGTCGTAATGGCCCATCGTTGTACGTAAATGTTTGGCTGAGGTGCCGCGGTGCCGGCTCCGCATTTTCGTGTTTGTCAGGTTGAGCCATCAGCCGGCAGCACATCAAAGTAGGCTAGCACCATTTGCCAATGCCGTCGTCCTGCGATCACCGGGGATCAGCGGCGTCGGTGGCGTCCCTCGCCTAGGGATAATCGAAATAACTTCACTTGTGACATTTCATCCGTGCCGGTATGCGTCGGCAACTTAAAAGCACGACACCGGGGCATTTCTAGACCGTAGCGCTCATAGAATTGCTCGCTAGTGAACCTATGGCCGTCACGCATCCACCCAAACACGAGGTAAAGATAGAAGAACCGTAAGTATAGTGTGTCCAAAGTCACCAAGCTCCATCTAAAATGGAACGTAAAAATCGGCGCCTGCCCGTAGCAATCGCAACTTTTCGCAACGGGTGTATTTCACAGGTCGTTTTTTTTTTTCTTTTAAAATTAAAAAGCGTGGCTCTCCTTCTGTAACGATATGGCAATGAAACTTGCCAGGGTCAACGGCGGACGGCGAATCAGACGACCGAGTTGAATTGCGAGCTGCGTTTGGCGCGTATTGATAAATGGCGTCTGGAGCAGTGTCCCAGGTGCAGCTGAAGGTGTAGCAGCGAAAGTAAACAGACGAGACGCAGTCGAAATCCGTTCGCAGCAAAAACGCCGTCGTAACGCAAACGTCTTTTTCTTTTTTTGTTCTTTAAGCTTTGCTGTCGTTGTCCGTATTTAATTTTAAACCAAAGTTCTATGACAAAATAATTATATTAATTTTTATAAACCATGGTGGTTGCGAGCAGTCTCTTTAGGGAGGTGGCGCCATTTATCAATACGAGCGCCAAACCCGCCCCGCTACTCGACTTGGTCGTCTGCGTAGACGCCCACCGTTTAACCTGGCATGTTTCTTGGCCCTACTTTTTACAGAAAGATAGCGACGCTTTGTAAATTTGCAAGAAAACCCCAACCTGCGAAATACATCTTTGAGTAAAAGTTCAGATTTCTACGTGCAATCGTCAATTTTTACGGTCCATTTTAGATCGAGCCTCATGACTGGGGCACCCTATATATTTCTTTTCCTTGTGTCATGGCGGCTAGAAGTAGCGCGCACCCTGTAGAGAACTTTGGAAAGAAAAGTCGCTGCCAATTGTTTTACTAAGCATAGGCAAAGGAAAGACATTACAAATATTTTCTTAAAACGTCAGGTCAAAAAAGAAAAAAGAAAAAAAAAAGGCTTGAATATGCTAACAACTTTTAATGTATACCGGAACCTGTGAACTCCCAAGTGCTCGACAACATCATTGCGAACTTCATGCTCTTGATCTGCTGCATTGCCCACGTGTTATTTTCTCACTGGCACAGGTGGTAACGCGTTACAAGTAACGGCGTTACCGGTAACGTAGTAACGTTCTCATTGCATTGTCGTAAAAGGCAACGTACTGTAATTAGTCAATTCGTGTAACGTAGTTACGTTATTCATTACATAATCTCTCCAAGACTCCAATAATTACACTTCCATTTTATGCATGCTTCTAGGCGCCAAGATTTATAATTTCTTGACATATTTAGCGCTTTTCTCGTGAGTATTTAGTATGAAACGTAAAAAAAAAAGTTAAATTTGTTCAGTTTCTGAATGAACATAATGTTTCTCGAAATGTGGCGCTTATTTATGCGTACCTGCAACGTGAAATAAGTAAAACGTGTTAATTCATAATTTAAATATGGGACGGAAAAGTGACATTCGTTACTTTTTAACGATAACGGTGGCGTGTTCCTTTTATTTTGAGGTGACGTGGGTCGGTAACGCGTTTGTTTTAATTTGCAAATAAAGAGTAACATATTTGTTCCCTTTTTGAGGTTACGACAACAACACTGCCACAGGTATTTTTTCCTAGAACTAACTCCGCTATCTGTATTTTTCAACCACGTCATCATTACAGGAATACCGAAAGTAGACGTTCATTCGAGTACTTCAAGCTCTACCTTTTAGGAAGGAATACTGCCGCAGGGGCTTGAATAGCGTAAGCAGTAAACAATGCGTGGGTTTACCTGCGTCATTTGAGAAGAAAAGAAAAGCACAACCTGGTGACGCAGCGAAGGGGCCGGTACTCTTTTGTCGTAGCTCATTTCGTAGAAATAAAGTTCGTGGAAGCTCAGTTCTCCGGGAACACTCGTCTGTATGTGCCCCCGCCTTTCTACAGAAGTCGCACGCCCTCCATGCTTCCTTTTTTTTCTTCTTTCGAGTGCCGTAAAGTATAAAGTATGAAATATGAAGTACATATCTTCATTAAACATAAGTTTCATGAACACACGTTTCATTGACATTCTGAGCTCTCGTGGCAACTCGCTCTGGGGACACAACATCTCGTCGATAACATATTGTTGTGAAGAACGAAGAGGACATTGTTATAAATGACAAAGAAGAGCAAAGCAAGAAGGAAGAAGAGAAGTCAGATTCAGACAAATGAACGTCATTAAAATTGAGGACGGGAAACGAAAGAAAAAAGACTTCCTTTAGCCACAATAACTTTTGTCAGAAGTGGAATCATGAAACTCTGAAGTACCAGCCGGGGGAACCAAGTGTAGAAAGCGACCAACACCTTAAAGAGTTCACTTGCCCACCTGTGTGCAAAACAAGCGCGTCATATCGAATATCGAGAGGCCTTTGCAGAATTATGACGAGAGGTGACTGCTGAACTTCACTATAGACCGGGAGGGTCATCGCAGGCTCCGG